AGCCACTCTCCCCGCTCTCTTGTCAGCTGTTCATCTTCCTTGGACACATCTGCTGGAGGTTTATGGCATCATTTGACCATTACAACTTTAAAACCCTTCTCTTTTTAATGACCATTTGGGGGAATATAACTCGGAAGGTACACCAAAAGATGTTTGAGTTTGATTCTCTGCCGATCAAACAGTCCTGAATTATGTACTCTGCTTAGCAAGCAGCTGTTTGTGAGAGCCACTGTAACTCCACTGGCTGCACTAAACAGATTTCAGAGTTTTGATCCATAAGGTAAATCCACCCAAACCTGAGATTACAAAAGAGAGGGATGGTGGGCATCGTATTAGGTGGTATTAGTATATTACTATATCTAATGATGTTAGAGATGCTCTAATATTATCAGATATAGTAATATCCTAACACCACCTGCTATGATGCCCGCAGAGGCATAAAATGAATTAAGATGTAACTTTCCCCCTTAAATCCCCCAAACTTTTATGATGATCTAATGGAAAAAGTCAGTGTCCAGCAGATAATTGTCTTCAGGTTTCAACCATTTTGATCTTGATGCCTGCAAGGCTTATTTTACTTACTTACGTACTCTTAAAAATTATTTGCCAGCTATTTTGCTACAGATAATTTATTGATTCCCAGTAAAGATAATTTGTCAATTTGTCTTTTTTACATTTCTTTCTGTTTCACAAGCAATAATCCTCCACAGAAGGCCCATGTGTTCTCACTTAGGCTTCACCAAATCACGAAGCAGGCTCCTTGTCCCAACAAAACCCCTTTTTTATTAAGCTCATGTGAATGCCTCTCGTTCACCTCCAGCAAAGTCCCGGCAAATAGTCTTTCAAGGGTGAATTTACAACCACAGACCTTATCAGGCTTGGAGAGCTGCCAGGCCGATATCTTCCAAACGCAACTGCTGTACAAGAAAATACTTGGCAAGGAATAATGAGCAAATCTTCACACAAATTAATCAAACTAATTGTCTCCTGCCAACACCATTTACCTTTTGGTCTTTATTCTCTATGTGAGCAGCCATTCACCATCCACCTGTGCCTTTACTCCCGAGTCGGCCCTTGTTCCTTAACTGTTCCCTTCTCCTGGAGTTCTGCGCTTGCACACATCGGGAACAGGCTCCAGGTGTTCTTCTGCCCCACTGATCTCTGGCTCCAAAGGCAGATGATAACTGTTGGAAGGCCCTGGCCTTCTCTCTGCCTCCGACACAGAGCCCTCATCAGAGCCTTCCCCAGACTCCAGGACTGGCCCATGTTTCTCCCCAACCTCCTTACTGCCTGAGTCTGCCACCAGCTCTGCTGGCAAGCCAAATCATGTTAGGCTACAGAATATTCCCAAACCATCTGCCATTGTAGCGTAAGAGGTTACTACTCAATTGTTTCTTTTTCTAACGGGGGGGGGGGGGAGTTTATCAGAAGATTTTGACTCCATCCGGTTTCTGTGCTCCATACAGGAACTGCAACTATATGCAATCAAACAAAGCCATAAAGGTAGTTCTTCCTCTTTTTTTTAATGATTAATGTCCTCTATGCCCAAGGTAGTAAGTACCACAGTGAATTTATTACAGTAGAATCATCTGAGCAGGAAGAAAATGGGGGGGGGATTGCCCAGGAATCCCTTTTCAACGGTTTACAGGTAACCCTCAACTTACAACAGGCCATTTATTGATCTTTCAAAGGTACAACAGCACTGGAAAAGGTGATTTATGACAGTTTTTCACACCTACGACCATTGCGGCACCCCCCCCTGCCCCCCGTGTTCATGTGATCAAAATTTGGATGCTTGGCAAACGTCGTTATGATGATTGCAGTGTCCCTGGGTTATGTGATTTCCCCTTACGTGACTTTCTGACAAAGTGAACGGGACAGTCGAAGATTCATTTAACAACCATGTTAACTAACTTCGCAACTCCCTAAGATCCACTTTAACGACTGTGGCAAGGAAGGTCGTCAAAGGGGTAAAATTCCACTTAAATGTTTCCACTCAGCATCAGACATTTTGGCCTTAATTGTGGGTCTTAAGTCAAGGAGTACCTCTATTGGAGCAGACACGGTTTGTTCGTAACCTATGAAGGGTTTTCACGGTGCAAGACTAAATCGTACGCAAAGAGCTACAAGGAGACATTTAAAAAAATGAATTTTCTGATCCAGTGCAATGAACTCCACATCTGTTGTGGGGAGAGTGAAAAAAAATACATCACACATATATCGAATGTACATAAAATAAGTCAAGAACTGCCACATTTCCTTTCAGAATAGGTTAAGGGAAACAAATGAAGGAATCAGTTTCGTTGTACACATGAGACAATAAAGGCTACAGTACTATTCTATCAAAAGAAGCCTTTCCCTTAGTCACAATCCCGTCATTTACAGAGTGATGCCGAAGAGCCTTTGTCCTTGGTCAGTTAAAGGGGGAAAGCTCCAATCCTCGGCCATCAAGAAAATCTTAGGTTCAGGCTGAGCTTCGTAGACTGTCTTGCTATAAAGCAACCTTATAACCCGTGGACTTCAACTCCAACTTGACCTGATAGCAGTGTTTCGATATCTCGGGGGTTACCAGAAAAGAAGAGGGAGTCAAGCTATTCTCCAAAGCACCCGAGGTTAAGGCAAGAAACAACAGATGGAAACTAATCAAGGAGAGAAGTAACCTAGAACTAAGGAGAAATTTCCTGACAGTCAGAACAATTAATCAGTGGAGCAACCTGCCTCCCGAAGTTGTGAATGCTCCAACACTGGAAGTTTTTAAGAAGAGTTTGGACAACCATTTGTCTGAAATGGTTATAGGGTCTCCTGCCTAAGCAGAGCATTGGACTAGAAGATCTCCAAGGTCCCTTCCAATTCTGTTGTTCTAATTCTAACTTCAGCTGCCTCTGGAATTCTGGGAGTTGAAGTCCACAGGTCTTAAAGTTGCATAGCTGCCCAACCATGGTCAGGTTTAATCCCTTGCGGGTTGCAAAACGACCTCTTATCCCCCCACTCTTCTCTTTTAAGACCCCCAAAGGTTCTGTGTCCAGCTTAGGCACAGAACAAGGTGGCCACAGGAATAAGGAAAAGCAATTTTAAAAAAAAATTGCATGTTTCATGGCATATCCAGAATCCCAACTATTGTTGGGGCAGAATCAAGACTATTGACACTTGTCCAAAAGCTTCAGTACCGACCGTTAAGTAGCAAGGAATATACTGTACCCTAAAAAGAAGTTTTTGAAAGAGAGATCGTCGGGAATCTCTTCCCCCGTACCGTACATCGTACTTGCAAACTTATCATGAGTAAAAAAAATATTAAATCGATCCCTTAAAGCTAATTGTGCTCCTGGTTTGAACATGACATCCCCCTTTGCTTGGAAAGATTGGGGCCACCACCGGATTGCCTCCTATCCTTATACAGCGAGAGGGGCCAAGTGTAAAGTGCGAAACGTACCAAAAGGCATTCGACAGCATTGAAACCACACAAGCTTAGTAGGAAGGGGTGGAGAACAGACACAAGGAAAACAGAGGAAATCCACCACCATCCCTAATCCACCACCATCCATCCACTCCACATGTCTAATTCCCTTGTGCAATTCCCCGGGGAAGTGTACCGTATTTTTCAGAGTATAAGACGCACCAAGATTTTGAAGAGGCAAATTTAAAAAAAAAAAGTTTTTGCACTCTGCAGACCTCCCCAAAAAGGCCCGTTTTTTGTGAAAACAGGGCCTTTTTTTTCCAAAAAAGAGGGCATGAATATCCTTTGGAAGGCTTTCAGAGTGTTCCTTGGGGGTGCCCCCCCAAATAAGCAAAAACCGGCCCGTTTTTCGCCTATTTCTGCCCTCTCCAGCCCCCGGGAGCACTCTGGAAGCCTCCTAAAGGCTATGCATGGCTATTTTTGCAAAGGGGGCAGAGTTTTGGGAGCCAAAAAAAATGCTGTATTCAGTGTATAAGACGCACCCAGATTTTCAGCCTCTCTTTTGAGGGGAAAAGGTGCATCTTATAGCCCAAAAAATACAGTAACTCCAAACAAACCTTGGGGGAGTGGGGGAAAACGCTAGCAGAGAGAACTCAGATACCCATTTCTGAAACTGAAACCAACTTAAAGCTCATTCTTCCTCCACAACCGGCCCTTGGAAGCCTTATGGTTTCAGGCCGCTGAAGCCAATGGCCATCTTGGTCTCACTGGGATTGAGATCAAGGCTCGGCTTGATGAGAAATAGGACTGTCTGCCTCTTTTGCATGCTCTTAACAGCCACCAACCCTTTCCCTCAGCTCCCACACAGGCAGCAACTGAGATTGTTAGCTTGTACTGTATGCAAAAGCTAAGGTGATTGCATGGTTGAGGCAGGTTGTGGCATTCATCGTGTCTGAAGTGTTGTTGGGCAAACGGTAGTCTATAAGGCTACCCTTTACAGTAGGGATAATGCTAAAGATTGCAGAATGAGGTCTCTGCAGAGTACAAGCCAACCTAGGTGGCAGGTAAATTCCCTTGTGGGTTCTTTTTGTTTTGTTTTTGGTGTACAGGTGTGTGTCTTTTCTTACAGGCAACTTTTGAACACCAGTTACAGATGCTACCCTGTTTCCCCAAAAATAAGACCTCCCAGGATAATAAGCCCAATTGGGTTTTTGAGTGCATGTGCTAAAATTAAACCCTCCCTCGAAAATAAGACCTCCCCAAAAAATATTACCGAGGTGGCGCAGTGGTTAGGGTGCAGTACTGCAGGCCACTTCAGCTGACTGCTATCTGCAGTTCAGCGGTTCAAATCTCACCGGCTCAGGGTTGACTCAGCCTTCCATCCTTCCGAGGTGGGTAAAATGAGAACCCGGATTGTTGTTGGGCGCAATATGCTGACTCTGTAAACCGCTTAGAGAGGGCTGAAAGCCCTATGAAGCGGTATATAAGTCTAACTGCTATTGCTATTGCTATTACAACACAGCAGCAGCCGTGAGGTGACCACGCTTGCTGCCTCCTGCACCTCAAAAATAATAAGACCTCCCCGAAAATAAGGCCAAGTGCTTATTTCTGGGTCAAAAGAAAACAAGACCCTGTCTTATTTTCGGGGAAACACGGTAGCTCATAGAAACAAATATTGTGGTGAGTGAGTGGGTGGCTATTCAGTTCTCTGTTCCCCTTTTCACAGTGCTCACTTTCTATTCTTAAGCCCTCTCTGTCAGCCTCTCTCTTTCTCTCTGTCTCTCTCTCTCCCGGGCAAAGCTATTCCCCATTCCAGATTTTGATGGCACCTCGGTTGGAAGGAAGCCCCATAAAATTGTGCATCCGGAAGCGTTAATTCAAAGAACTGACTTTCTAGATTTAAAAACAAAAAAACACGCACCCTCAACCAGGGCTTGGTTGGGAAGGCTGTGAGCAAACCACAAGCTGCCCCACTCCTTCCTCTTGGCCTCGCTTCGTTTGTTGCGATGTCTGAATTAGGCAATCCGTGGTCACCGCTCATCTTCAAACCCTGCTTTGACAGGGTGCGGTTTGGACAGCATTGGTTTACCTGTGGTTTGCCCGGCTTTGATGTCGCCAGTAAATGCTACTTGGGCGAAAGATAACAACAGAGAAAGCAATTGGAACAATGTGGGGTGAAAGTAGGGAATTTCCATGCCACGTTTTTCTGATCCGGCTTTCCGGGTGATCTGAACCCGTGCATTCGTAGAGTGGTGTGTGCAGATCCTGCTTGAGGAGGGTGGGGTGGGGGGGAAGCACTGTGTGGTAAGGACAGCAAGGACAGACCTTTACTGTTCGATATGGGTAAAGTCGTAGCAGAAATTTAAGTTGCTGGGAGGCTTTGGGATGTCGGGTGGGGCATCCGGAATGGCAATGTTCTCCAGATCCAACAATCGCAACTTGAGCTCCATTGACAGCAAGATATCCAGTTCGCTCCGCATCCTTTCGCTGACCATCTCCCGGCCGAGAAGCACATTCAGTCCATCGGTCCACAAGCAGAACTGGGGAAAGAGGGATAAATCTCATCAGATATTGTCGGTTCCCCCGCCCCCCCTCCCCCTTCAGTTAATACATTGAAGGAGATCAAGACATTTTTTTGTTTGGAACCAGGGCTACAGTGGCCGGGCTCACACAACTTGTCGCCTGATTTATAACTGTTGCCTGGCGCCTCCACTGCTTGGCTTTTTCTCACCTCTCGGCAAGGGTGGGTTTCAACCTGTTCGCGGCGGTCCCTGCGAACCGGTTGATCGCCGAACCCGGAAGTAAGTAACTTCCGGGAACAGCGAAGGGCGCACTCGCCCGCGGTCCTTACCCGGTTTTGACGAGTTCTGCGCTTCCACGCAAGCGCAGGACGCATACAGCGCCTGCGCGATCGTCCAGGAGCAGCTGGAGCGTCGCACAGACACTAGTATGCATGCATGCACTGTGCACGTGGACGCC